ACATCTGCCAGAGGAAGAGGCTCTGGGAGAGGGAGAGTCAGTGTGCAGGGGAGCAGGGCAACTCCTGGTGCATGGCAGTGCCTACCCCAACGATGGGAAGTACATCCTTCCCTGCCCAGGTGGTCCAGGACATATCTGCTCTGGGCAACCCACCTGGGCTTTGCTCGTGACTGCAAATCAGTGGGTGCATCACACAGCCCATGTGGATAAGCAGCCTGTGCTCTTCCCAAGGTTGAGGGGTTTTATTGCCCTTTCAAAAAGCCCAAAACCACCAGGCTGCCTGTGAACAAGCCATCATGGGAAAGCTACAGAGCAGAGACAGGAGAAAGTGGAAGTACAGAACAGGAAAAACATCTCCTGAGGTTACAGAGGATGTAGAGAACTCCATGGATGTATCATGGATGTTAAGGGGGTGGAATGGAGCTTAGAGATCACCCAGCCCCAACCCCTGCCCTGGGCAGGGACACCTCCCACCAGAGCAGGTTGCTCAAGGCTCATCCAACCTGGCTGTGAACACTGCCAGGGTTGGGGCAGCCACAGCCTCCCTGGGCAACCTGGGGCAGTGTCTCACCACCCTCACAGGGAAAACTTCTGCCTAAGATCTAGCCTATATTTCCTTTCCTTCAATTTGAATCCATTATCTCTTGTCCTGTCCCTGCAGTTCCTAACCCAGAGTCCCTCTGCATCTTCTCTGTAGCCCCTTCAGCTCCTGGCAGGTTGCTCTGAGGTCTCCACACAACCTTCACTTCTCCAGGCTGAACAGCCCCAACTTCTTCAGCCTGTCCTCACAGGGGAGATGGGAGATGCTAAACATCCCTGTTGCTTCCCCACTTTTGTCACTCCCACCAAAATCAGAGGAAGAGCAGTAGAAAGCAGCAGGAGAAAAAAAAAAAAAAGTCTTTTTGTCTGCAGAAAAAAAAAATAAAAGAAAAAACAGCGGAAAGAAAAGGCCATTTTTGGAGGCAAAAAGATCACTGTCTGGAAATTTGGGGTGGAATCTACTTGAGAGCACTGGAGCAGCTGAGGACCGGGCGCGTGCCCCGTGCTGGGGCTGGCACACAGCCCTGCCGACGCACAATCCTGGGATTCAGAGCTGAATTCCTCAGATAAGTCTTTTCCAGGAATGTCTGACAGCGCAAATGAAGCAAAGATTGCAACATTTTTTCCATAGTTTTCAGCCTCTTGGAAATAAAAAAAGAAAAAAAGGCATTATCTAAGGAGCACACGAAAAAACCAAAGCAACAAGAGGCAGTTCTACAGGGAGAAGTGGGCACTGTCCCTCACTCTCTCCCTGTGCTCGCCCCAACCAGGGTGGCTCAGCCCTTGCATACACACAGGGGTTGAGCCTTGTCAAGCAGAATTTGGGAGGTGGGAGCTCAGTCCTCACCTGTCCCCAAGGCCTGCTGATGTCCTGGGAATCACAGAGTCATGGAATTTTTTATTTGGGATGGAGCTTAGAGATCACCAGCCCCAACCCCTGCCCTGGGCAGGAACACCTCCCACCAGAGCAGGTTGCTCAAGGCTCATCCAACCTGGCTGTGAACACTGCCAGGGTTGGGGCAGCCACAGCCTCCCTGGGCAACCCGGGCCAGTGTCTCACCACCCTCACAGGGAAAACTTCTGCCTGATATTTAGCCTATATTTCTCCTCCTTCAACTTGACTCCATTACCCCTTGTGCTATCACTGCAGCTCCTAACCAAGAGTCCCTCTCTGGCTCCCTTGTAGGCCCTTCAGTTCAGATACTGCTACTATGAGGTCTCCACACAACCTTCAGCATGGAATGTGAAGGGAAGTCTGGCAGTGCTGCTGAATCCTTGGGTTGTTTTGCTGCTTGTTCCATCCCCATGGGATAACCTGTAAGATTAGGAACACAGTCCTAAACCTGTTCCAGCGTTAAATAAAAGCAAATTCTGCTGGCACCTGGTTTGAGGAGTTCAGTTCTCATTGGAATCCACACAATGGTCAGCCAAATGCATGAGTCCCTGTGTGTGGACAGCTCATCCATGCTGAGACCAAGCAGGACATCAGAGCATATCCAAACCTCCAAGCTCCCATTCATGATGAGCACGGGAGACCCAGCAGTACCTAATTCCCTAAATTCCACTTACTGAGCAGCACTGCTTTTTGCAAAGAAAGGAAAGAATGACCACAGCACAGCAGGACTGCCATGGCCAGAAGAAAAACTGTCTCCACGTAAAGACTGAGTTCTGCCAAAATTCCCAAGCGAGGATTCCTTGGTCTCAGCCCAGAGCAGACCTTGGCACTCTCTGATTAACCATTAAGTATCTTTGGCACAGGCACAGGGAAATGAATTCTTAGGGCTGTCTCTATACCACTGCAGCACACACAGTCTGTGTTCTGAGAGGGATCTAACCAAGGATGGTTGGTGGTGTTTGGTATGGAATCATTCCTGGTTTTGAAAGAGCTTATAAGGATGAGGCAGGGGACAAGTGTTAGCCTCAGAGGTTGCTCTGCCACAGCATCCTTGCCCTGTGTCCTTTCCACTGTTCCAAACAGACGCTGACAGCAGCTCCCCTGGCAGTGGTGGGAGCCAGGGGCTCGAAGATGGGCAGTGGGGAGGGAGCAGGACCCACTGGAAATGACACTGCGTGTCATTTTTGTGCTGTTTTTACACACAGATCTTAAAAGCCTTACACAAGCCCAGGAAAAATGCTTTGATTCTGTGTTCTTACAGCAGCTGTGAGCTCTAGATCCTGCTGCATCCATCTGGTCCCACCAGCTGAAGACAGGTGCTCAGCAGCACTGCTCCCACACTCCTGCCATGGGGTGGATGCAGCACAAGCTTTTGCCCAAGCAAAACCTCCTTCTCCTTCAGGTAAATAAAAGCTGTCTGAGAGCTCTTTAAGCTTTGAGCACAATGCACCTCTACTCAAAGAGAAGCCCTATAAGGGACACCTTATCATAGACTCACTTAATGGTTTGGGTTGTAAAGGGCCTTAAAGATCATTTAGTTCCATCCCTTGCCATGGGCAAAGACACCTTCCACTAGGATCAGGGTTATCAACCCAACTCAGCTGCTCAACTGTGTTTTTAACAAGGTCATCTGCACTATAGTCCCTTTAATGATAAAAAAATCATCACTGAAGATGATCCAGAGGGAAACCCAAATTAAGCAGCTTCTGGGAACAGGGCAATGAAGACTTGCAACACACAAGCAAGACAGTCAGGCGTGGAGGAAACCATCCCAACCACATTTTGGACCAGCCCCTCTGCACACTAACAACCCTGTCACACAGCACCCTGTAAACATCCAGAAAGAGCTGTGCAGGTTTGAAAAGCAAAATATTTTGGGAGGCTTTACAACCCTCAGCTCCGGGACTCCTGGGGGCAATCTCTGCCTTTTATTCCAAAGCACAAGCTCAGCAGTTTGGAGCTCGCATGACTGGCCCTGAAGCAGCCTGCCTACGCTGCACATCGCCAGCAGCAGCCAACTGCTGATGAGGGACACGGCTCCAGAAGGCTCCTCGCCTGGGATGCGATCCAATCGCTTCCCGACCGGCCGGGACACCACCAGGCGTCAGCAGAGACCAGCGCTGGGAGCTGCACTCCCACCAAAACGAGAGGCTAGACCCACACAGGGACACATGCTGCTGCCTTCAGTCCGGGGAAAGTAAGAGGGAGAGTGGGCATCAGCATCCGCATCTCCTCGTGGGGTATCCAGCTTTTGCTCCCAGCAGGAAGGGGATTAGGATCACCTGAATCTCCAAAACCCTTCTCATTATCTCCCATTGATGCAAGACCCTCTGGAAGCACTTAGTGCTCTTAGTGGGACCATTCCCTCCTCGCCAAGACCACATGGCATCAGTTTGCTGCTACTCCAGGGCTGTGATTCCAGTACACCGTGCCTGTGCTCCCAGTGACAGCTCTGTAATTCCAGCAGTGTGACTGTGCTCCCAGTGACAGCTCTGTGATTCACAGCTGCTTTCACTGCGGGTGACACGGGGAGAATCTTTTTCCATGGGGAAGCAAAAACCAGACTAACAAAACAAATGTGGACACAGCACCACTGGCATTAGCTCCATCTTCTAGGGAAACTGAAGCACAGGCTTGCCTGACTCCCCAAGCATGGATTTCGTGGCACTGGTACCACTAGTTGGTCCTGGAAACTCTTGTGTCACAGTGTCTCAACTGTCTCCTCCCTTGCTGACCTCACGAGCAGCTCACTGGGTGATGTCACCCAGTGTGACATCAGCCTTACCCAGTTTGGTCCACAGGTGGCTGTTCAGCCCCCCAAGATGTGTAAGTGCCATCTCAGCAGTGGGATGAGGAAGTGCCTGAGTACTCAGCACATCTCACATGGTGCTCAGCAGCAAACCACAGGGCAAGGGCCATGCCCCAAAACCCAGCCTGACACAGCAGGAAAAGGCAAGGCAGCTTTCTAGGGATGGGATGGGGTGAACTCTGGGCACCAAGTGCACCTTTAAAACCCTCTCACAACCAGAGCAAGAGAGAGGTGTGCCCAAAACAACCCTCAGCCGGGCAACAGGCCCTGCTCCAAGGACCACTTTGTGTTTGCACATCCAGTGGAAAAACGGGCTAGTAACAAGAGATCTCCTCAAAAGGGCTTGAGCTAGTCGTCTCCACTTGTGTCTGAGTGTGCCAACACCCTACCGTGGTGCTGCCAGGAGCTGCCCCACAGCCCCAGGGCAGTAGGGCAAAGAGATGGGTATCAGGTCTGGTAGCCATGCCAAGCCCCATCACAGCTTCAGGGTCTGGTAAGGGTAGAGGGCAGGAATCCCCTCACTCCTGGGGCTAGCCTGGTGTCCCCCCACCAGGACCATTGTGGAGCAGAGGCAGTGGGGGACAGAGCAGAGGAGACAAAGGGATGAAGCAGAAGGGAACAACTTCAGGAATGCAGGGAAAAGCACAAGGGAATCACAAATAACCTGCACAGGCAAATCTCCCTTGATTCCCTAAATGCCAGGAAGAGAATAAAAGCAACAAGCAGCCACAGCCCTGATTGCCAGGGAGCACTCACCATTGGTGGATGATGCCAGGCAGTGGAAGACAGATCCAGAGGTGCAGTTCTGCCAGAGGTCTGCTGTGTGCTCACCGTTCACCAGCCATTGCTGTGAGAGAGACACAGCCCCGTGAGCAGAGCCCTGGAGGCAGCAGGCAGTGTCCCCCCAAGGCTTCACCCCCGAGCAGACCCAGCACGTGTCTGTCCAGCCAGGAGCTCCCAGCATATGCTTTTCTTTAGGAAGGGGTTTGGAAAGTAAATAGTGATATTTGCTTTTAACTGCTTTCGCCTCAACGGCACAAAAACAGAAGCTCTTTATGCTTTTTAAACACTGAGTCCCACGGGGATAAGCACTTCCCTCCCCTTGCTGCCCGGCCGGGATATTCAAATGCTTCCACGTGATTTCTAACGACTTGGAAGATTTTTGTAACGTCTTCCACTACTATTACCCCAGAAAAAAAAAAACAAAAAACAAAAAAACAAACTACTTATTTTAAAATACTTATTTCAAAGTACCAGGCATGAAAACTACCCCACAAAGAAGCCCCTGATGAAGTAAGTCACCAGATCCACAGAACGGCTGCTTTAAAACCAACTCAGCCCTCTGCCCAAGCAGCTGACGTGTTCCCTGGGCTCCAGCCCGAGGACAGTGCTGGGAAGTCTCTGCACTACATCCAGCTCTGTCTTCCTGCTGCTCTCAATGTTTAAACCTTGGGAGTTGCCAGCAGGAGCCCATCTGGCTTAAGAGACAAAGGCTGTGCCTAATTCACACCCCCAAAGGAGCAGAGCTGGGGAGCAAAACTGCTAGTCCTGAGGAGCCAGTGCCCAAACCAGCCTCATTTCAAGGGGCTTTGCTCCCACTGGCAGTAGGTCCTGCAGGCTGAAGCCCATTAGCAGGTAGAGCTCCTTCGTGATAGAGGAGGGCAGTGTCACCCCCATGGGGGGATTCTGGGTGCTGTGAGGTTGCTCCTTGATGTGAGCCAACGTGGGAATGAGGAGGAGATGAGCGTGAACAGCACTTGCCTCTGTACTAACGTGGATGCCCTGAGCACCTGTGGTACCACACAACCAAGTGACCTGACAGCAACTCCAAAATCCCATGGTCATTGAGACCAGCAACCAGCAAGTAAAGGCTCCCTGCTAAAATCCAGGCTGTAAACTAAGCCACAAATAAAAATAACTGCTCTTGCCACGCCATGCCCCCACCAGCAATCCCTGCCCTGCTAGTGCCAGGGGAAAATCCAGACTTACACTAACGATGGTGGAGACGAACAGGAGCACCAGCACGGTGACATGGAGCACGATGATCCCCAGCAGCAACAGCAGCATCTTGGCGGTGGTGGAGGGCAGAACTGGAGGGGGATAGGGATGCTGCTGAATGTGTTTGCCTCTGTCTGTCTGTCTGTCCGTGCCGACCGGGGGCAGAGCCCGCCCGGCTCCGGGGGATGCTGCTCGGGCAGCGCCCGCGCCCAGGCTCCCTCCCTCCGGCCCCGCCGACCCAGGGAGGGGTCCAAA